TGGTTTGGTTACAGAAAATAGATCTAAATAATATCATCATTAGATGTAAAATGTGTTTTAAGAACTACCTTATGTCACAGTGACTGCATGCTGCAATACATTCACATCAAATACAGGACGTCAAAATGGCCGACACGATAAACGTGACAGGAGAGATTTCCAAAGTTCTTCATGAACCTATGGCGATAACAAATGTTGGTCGTCTTGGATTAATTGGCCAATGATTGAAAGGTGATTGTAAATATGTTTCAAATAGATGTTGGGGTAAATTCATAGAATGCTGTAGACTGTCACTGTTGATACTATGATAATTTGGATGTGCTTTTCTTCGTTTTGTTCGCTAGGTTGGGTCGTAGTGAGGATATCCTTGAACGGGCATGCAATCAAACTCTCTGACTTATCCCATTGTTTGCTAAAACGCTGAATTCAAGATTAAAGGGTCTAAATGATCAGAAACAACGCTTCTGTGTGTATACGTGCTAGGGAATTCCCAGGGGTATCCTCAGGAATGTGCAGTGGAAGTAGTTCGTCAGTGTTTACGTCATTTCAAGAATACAGTCCTGTGAAAAACATGTGAACGTTTAAAAACGTCATTCATACACTTATGAACTTCAGCTCCATGGTCATGTGACCGACCTCAGATCCAATGGAAAAGCTGTATATCATTGAAAAATTATACTGATAAGTATGACAAGCAGATAAAACATTTGACAACGTGTTTTGCACATCCAACCGAATAAAAGAAGAAAAGTGTTTTATTCACCAAATTGGCTCAGTGACCCTGAATGTTACATAGTAACATAGAATGAAGATTTCAGAATTGTCTGGGTCTTTTCCCATGCCTGTTAATTAATTTCAGAACTGAAAAGAATTCAAATTTGTATAAAATGTGAAGTAAAGTAAAATTATATGATTACATCATTAAAAAACATTTTCTTTTCATTAAGTTTTTTCTTCTGACCATCAATACTTGAAAGAAATCAAGTTGTACAAATAAATTTGATGATGAACTCATAATCTATTGCAAAGTGAATAAAACATTGTCTTTTAGTGCTTCAGCAAATTCAAATTTATGACAATGATACAGTATTTTTGCTCAACCTAAACTTGTAAAATTTTCTAAACTGGTATCCAGCAAAAGCAATTATTTTAACTCCCTGCTATACCAAAGAAAGCAATGGGATTCTGATCCAGTCATGAATACTTTAGATATTGCCCTTTACATCGTCGCCATGATCAAACAAGGTCAGATCTTATTTTAATATTCTCAACCCACTTTCAAGAGCAGCATTCTTTCATTTCTATATCCGGCCACGTGTCGTATGTTTCTTGTCATCTCAAAAATATACTCCATGTACGTTTTATCTACATTCAAAGGCTTTCTTCATCCTGCCATTCTCCAACTCTAGGAATCGATTCCACGTATCCATGCTGCTACCTGCTACAGAGCCCAGGGTCTAAAGAAATGTTTTTCCCCACTGTACGCGATGAGACTGCTATTGAGCAGGCAGTTTTTGGTTGGAGAGTATTATGTAAACTTTGAAACTAAGATATTGGATTGATTTTCTGTTGAGTGGTTTTCCACTTTGACAGTTGTGTTTACAAAGGTGACGGATAACGATCTGCTTCAGTTTTTGCCATGTGGGTGTCCACATTCAGTGACTTTTCAATCTCTGGACTGAAGTCTTCATATTGACAGAACTCTTCAGTAAGTGCTGTGCACATTTACAGATAGGTGCATATTGAGGACGGCCAAACTCCTGTGAGGTTTGTTCAAACCCTGAAGCTTTGGCAAAATGAATGTTCAAACTTGGATCTTTTGAGATAGCACTTTGAACACCAGATAGTAATATTTGGTCAATTGTTTGGGCAAAGAAATATCTTCGCTTCTCAGAGTTCCTGCTTTTGAGGAAAAATTGGCTGAAGGTCAGGCATCATTTCAACATTTAAAATGTTTTCTTATTTTCAAAAGTTTTTGAAAGTATTGTAGTTGTCAATTGATTCTTTTCTGTCCTTGAAAGACGTAACAGTCTTTGATTTAACACTGAATAAAAAATTGTAATGAAGCGAAGAAAGCATTGACGAATGAAGCCAACTAGTTTTGTTTCTTGTCGCACTGGGAGAGAGAAACATCTCCTGCATTGTATATGACACATTACATTTAACATTAACTCCATTGTGGAACTGAACATGTGTGCATACTAGCTCATATACCATGTGCCATTTTCAAGTTGTTTATTTTGAAAGCAATATCTTTCAATATCTGGGTGCACAGGTGGCCCAGTCGTCTAAGGTCCCACAATTTCGCTGTGCAGAGTTGCATCCATTGCAAACACCCAGAACCTATGAATATGTTTCCAGGTTTCTCTGCACCATATCTGTGCTCGTGGGTTTCACCAAAGTGGTGAATGTCTCAGACCTGAATCACGTCAGGATTTCATCCCACTTCAAGCTGACATGCTGTGATATAGCTGGAATGCTGTTTAAAGCAGCGTTACACCCAACTCACTCACTTTCAATATCACCAACAGAGTCTTTTCTCCAAGGCATGTTGCACATTTTCAGTAAAGGTCTAGGTGAGGTGAAATGGGGTTTAACGTCGCGTCCAAGATTATTGCACTTATATAGCGACGTGCATGTACGTGTGTTTGTTTGGACTAGTCCGGACTTATGCCTATTTATAGTGCCATCTCGCTGAGATACCATGCCGCAGTTTAACATGAATACCCCACTCAGACACAGTATATGGACTCCGAGGCGACCAGTCCTTGTTTAAGCTAATTAATGCCGAACGCCTGACAGGGTAACAACAAGTACCATCTTTTAACGTCTTTTGGTATGACGCGGCCGGGGATCGAACCCTGGACCTTCCGCTTTCCGGGTGGACGCTCTACCATTAGACCACGGAGGCGGTCTAGCAAAGGTCTAGAAGTTGGTTCTTGCGTTGTTTGCATGTAACATTAACAATCAGGTATTGTGACACTCATAGTCGTCATTGCCAGCCAAAGTATAGGGTTTTAATGACTCAAATCAAACTTGTTGGAACTCCCAGTTTGTGAATAACGATAGTTCTCCTAAAAGGCCCCTTGACCTATAACATATAGAAAATATATTTTTGCCTGCTGAGGCAACATTTCAGTAATCATGATGTAAAAATACATCTTGAGTTAGGTAGTCAGTAAGAGTATGGTTTTATCCCAAATTTTACAATATTTCAGCTATTTGATGTGGGAAACAAGAAATGAACTGATCACCCATTGAACCCATGCATGGTGGGATTCAAACCCATGATGAGCCCATGCTTTAACCACTCGGCTACTCCACCACCCCTCATCTATATATAAGTGACCTATAGTGGATTAAGGCATTGCAAGTTGTCTCCCTTAGTCATGCCAAGGTCCGGGGTAGAATAGGTCTTTAGCGACCCAAGATGTGACTTACAGGATCGGGTGGTCAGGCTCGCTGACTTGGTTGAAGCATGTCATCAATCCCAATTGCGTAGATCGATACTCATGATATCAATCACTGGATTGTCTGGTCCAGACTTGATTATTTACAGACCGCTGTCATATAGCTGGAATATTGCTGAGTGTAGCATAAAACAACAAACCATGCAACCAACTAACCTTAGTCAGTCCAGGATCTGCTGACTAAAATAAAATTAACTCTGATTATGACCCTAGGTTTACATATGAGTCAGCAGTCAGACTTTATCAAAGTGGTAGACACCTACCATAGTCGACGTAATCAGCGCTCAGGGCGCTCTCAAAATTAGAAATAGGGGGCTCTTATTAGAATATTATTTTGGTGAAAAAACAGAGTTGAAAGATAAATTGTGGTTTATGCTGACAGCCTGAAATGTTTATATATGACAGATATATTTTTCCAAATTTAATTACCCATAATTAAGGGTGCATATAACACACGAGTGCATATTATACGTGAATATATAAGTCTAGTGTACATTGATCAATTGGAAGGGGTGCTAATTGGGATTGTTCACGAGCCAATATATTCGCAAATATCGCCATGGGCGCCTATTAGAGCGGGGCGCTTATAACGTCGAATACGGTGTAAGTATAAGTAAATGACATGCAGTGTTGTAAGTGACATAAAGTTCAAATCGGTGTTAAACCTAACTCACTTATCAGTGTGTGTATTCAACTTAAGGATCGCAATACTCAATTTTAAGACTTTTTGGGGGGGCATTCCTTGGAGCCTTACTTAATGAATGCAGTTACATGCTACATGAGATTCATCTTAGACTACGACAGTTTTACATGAAACATCTCCCCCTCCAGCTCTTCAGCATGTTAAGTACTGCCCAGTGAGGATGCTGTGCATGTTTAGCACTGCGTCACCTTCTCTGGGGATACAGTACATCTGTAGGACTTATCTGGCCACAAATCATGCACACTTTGGCTAAACCGTTTACAGTTAATTTGGATATGGAATTTCCCATTGGAAATGGCTTAGGAAGGTTGGTGCCAGTCTCATCCACGGATACTTCCTCATCAGGAAATGAGGTTAGCGAATTTAAAGATCAGAATTCAGATTCTGGGTAACTGGCTTGAAACCATGTTTATTTCTGGAAAAGGCCTTGCCCAAGGAGGGAATTTATGTGGCTTGAATTTAAGTAACATGTGAAATTTGCAGATTAATATTTATACCTGTATCCTGTAACCTCCGTTTCTATCAACATTAATTGTTTAAAAAAATTAGATTTTGAATCTGATGACATTTCAAGAATATATGGTTGCTTCAGGGTGATAGTGTACGATGGCTTGTAGTTCGTGGCTCCCAAGTTGAATGGCTTACTTTATGGATCCATGGGAGTTAGACTTACAGAAAGGGCTCCACTCTTGGATGGTTCAAGTAGATATAGCTCTCAACTGCAGCCGGGCTTGTACATGTCGGAAGCTGTAGGTTTAGTGTTACTGAAAACAGGCCGACTGCAAGGGTTGGAGATTCTAAAATAGGGTATAGGCTTCTTAGTAAGTATGATTGTTAAAAAGAATGAATTTAATGATATGGAGAATCTTGTTAGTGCAGACCCTGTTAGTGCAGACACTGTTAGTGCAGACATGGTTAGTACAGACCCTGTTAGTGCAGACCCTGTTAGTGCAGACACTATTAGTGCAGACTCTGTTAGTGCAGAGACTGGTAGTGCAGACACTGTTAGTGCAGACCCTGTTAGTGCAGACACTATTAGTGCAGACACTGTTAGTGCAGACACTGTTAGTGCAGACCCTGTTAGTACAGACACTATTAGTGCAGACACTGTTAGTGCAGACACTGTTAGTGCAGACACTGTTAGTACAGACACTGTTAGTGCACACCCTGTTAGTGCACACCCTGTTAGTGCAGACACTGTTAGTGCAGACATGGTTAGTACAGACCCTGTTAGTGCAGACCCTGTTAGTGCAGACACTATTAGTGCAGACTCTGTTAGTGCAGAGACTGTTAGTGCAGACACTGTTAGTGCAGACACTGTTAGTGCAGACACTATTAGTGCAGACACTGTTAGTGCAGACACTGTTAGTGCAGACCCTGTTAGTACAGACACTATTAGTGCAGACACTGTTAGTGCAGACCCTGTTAGTGCAGACCCTGTTAGTGCAGACACTATTAGTGCAGACTCTGTTAGTGCAGAGACTGGTAGTGCAGACACTGTTAGTGCAGACCCTGTTAGTGCAGACACTATTAGTGCAGACACTGTTAGTGCAGACACTGTTAGTGCAGACCCTGTTAGTACAGACACTATTAGTGCAGACACTGTTAGTGCAGACACTGTTAGTGCAGACACTGTTAGTACAGACACTGTTAGTGCACACCCTGTTAGTGCAGACACTGTTAGTGCAGACATGGTTAGTACAGACCCTGTTAGTGCAGACCCTGTTAGTGCAGACACTATTAGTGCAGACTCTGTTAGTGCAGAGACTGTTAGTGCAGACACTGTTAGTGCAGACCCTGTTAGTGCAGACACTATTAGTGCAGACACTGTTAGTGCAGACACTGTTAGTGCAGACCCTGTTAGTACAGACACTATTAGTGCAGACACTGTTAGTGCAGACACTGTTAGTGCAGACCCTGTTAGTACAGACACTGTTAGTGCACACCCTGTTAGTGCACACCCTGTTAGTGCAGACATGGTTATTGCACACCCTGTTAGTGCAGACACTGTTAGTGCAGACATGGTTATTGCAGACCCTGTTAGTGCAGACACTGTTAGTGCAGACCCTGTTAGTGCAGACACTTTTATGGCAAGCATGGGTTGCTAAAGACCTATTCTTTCCTCTCGGTTCATTGGGAAATGATGTCAACAGGATTACACTGTTTTCAATGTACATGGTCATCTTAACCTGAACCGATATCAAGAAGCCTAATCTCCTAAAAAGGTGCAGTCATAGTTTTCTGTATTTTGTGTGTGGATGAAAAGCCCTGAATGACCCAGAGTGATCTGTAGACGTCATATACGTTTATCGCTGTGGTCTGACCCACTTCCTTATGTTAAGTCATATGTTAAGTCAGTGCAACGTTTAAAATCTTTTATCTTGAAATAAGAAGCCCTTTGGTCAAGACAAGGAGAATTTCATTTACCTACCAAATAAATTGTTGATGTACATGGCATGACTGCTGTGACCGAAATCAGAAAATCAATCCAAGACACATTACGTTTTCAATACCAGTCTCAGATTCGCCAATCTTGTGTTATACGGCATCTGAAGAACACTGACATATCACCGGGGTACGTCTAACCAGCACCCTCTGAAATTTACAACATCTTGCTGTCTTTTCATGAAACAGACACATCGCAATTGACGAGGAATTGATTTCTCATGAAGACGTCCATTTCATTCGGAGGTCCACAGCAGAACTAAGTAGCATGAATGTTGATGGCTGTCGACAGGAGCTCGGACTCTTATTTTCAAGTCTTTTGTCTTCCACTTTATTGGGATTTGTTTGTCTTTTAATGATTCCTGACGTTTCCAGCTCTGTCCAGGAAATGGCAACTGTTTGTAATGATGTGTTGGGGACAATCTTAGTCTGAGATGTTCATTACAGAATAAAGGTCACCAAACTTGATTGGCTATGACTGTTGCTTGACAAACTGCGAGACAATTAGTTCTTAATTGCAAGAGTATTAATTGCTGTTTATCTGGGCATAGACAACCAACAGCTCAGTATGGACTTACCGTATTCGACTTAATAAGTGCCCCAATCTAATAAGCGCTGTCGGCGATATTGGCTAATATATTGGCTTTTAAATGATCCCAATTAGCACCCCTTCTGATTGATCAATGTACACAAGACTTATTTATTCGTGTATAATATGCACTCGTGTGTTATATGCACCCTTAATTATGGGCAATTAAATTCTGGAAAAATATCTGTCGGGTATAATACGCACAGACTTTTCTTTTGTATCATTTCAGGCTGTCAGCATAAACCACGAAATTTACGATCTTTCAACTGTTTTTTTTTCTCACCAAAAGTATACTGTAAACTACGGTTATAACAAACTCGAGGGGACCACTAATTTTAGTTCGTAATAACCGTAGTTCGTTATAAGCATACATACAGCATATATACAACAAATGGTCGGGACTAAAAATAAGTTCGCTATATCCGTCAGTTCGTTATAAGCGTGTTCGTTATAAACGTAGTTTTCTGTATTCTAATAAGAGCCCCCTATTTCTAATTTTGAGAGCACCCTGGGCGCTTATTACGTCGAATACGGTATGTGTGGAATTATGGATGTTGGTGCTGTCAGGCTTGGTGTGAGACCAGGAGATGCTGACAGGATGAAGGTATTGTTACATCAATATGTCCACCTACCTGTTTTTAAAATGATTAAGTAGGATGATTACGGAAGATGATTAAATTTGAGAAAGCAGCTTGTCAGACACGAGGTACAAAATAAATTCTTGATCACATCTGTGGCAAGTTGGTTTCCTAATGAATGATTATCTATCATATCTCTAGGTTTGATTGGAAAATGATGATTCATCAAACCTTGTATTTAAAAATAGGGTGCATGATATTTGTTTTCCTGCACAATTAATTAAATCGGGCTTTTTGTAAGGATAAAAATGTTGAGTTGAGTTGTTATGTTAATATGACGTTGAGGGACACAATTTCTTAATGATGTCCCATTGGTAGTTAAAGTGAACTTTTGACCTTGGCACCAAAGCTTTAGCCTGAAGCTCTGCATTTGAAAATATGTAGACTGTTGTTTGTTGGTGTGGAGGGTATTTAGCAGGAGCAGACAGATCTCCTTTTGGAGCAGTTTAAAAGTCTGATAGAAATCTGATTTACTTAATGATGAGGGTGTGAAGTTTTTTCGATCCAACAAATTAACTTTCCAGGGGATTTACAGTCAAAAATTAATAACAGCTTGAATCGTGAGGTTGTTACTCTGAAAGTGAAGAGTATTCCCATCATTAGTGTAAGAAGGGGGCTAGACTTTAGGTGGGCGGGATGAAAGTGTTACAGATTTTCTTAAAGTGAGTGATTACGGTTTTACGCCGCTTTTAGCAATATTCCAGCAATATCACAGCGGGGGATGCCAGAAATGGGTTTCACACATTGTACCCATGTCGGGAATCAAACCCGGGTCTTCGGCATGACAAGCGAACGGTTTAACCACTAGGCTACCCGACCACCCAAGATTTCCTTAAAATGTTAGGTAGGTAGGATGATGGACATGAGGTTTTAATTATAATATTATAACTAATTTTTTATATTGATAATTACAGTAAAGAATTTGTTAGCATATTTCATGTTGGTGGAATTGAAAACCCACTGCTTTTCATTATTTTTTTTGACATTTCATTTCATTCTTTTGTAGATGGCAGATTTGTATACCAATGTAAGGCCATCTGACTCATAAACAGTCAATTTGACTCAAATGTATTTATTTTCAGTTCAGCTAACTAATGTTCATTTGTTAGTGCTGCTGAGAGATATATCTAATAGAAATGACAATGATGATTATCACAAAAAAACTCAAAAAGTAAAATCATCAAACACTTTCAAATAATGATGGCACCAGGTGTTCACAATAAGGTGAGCTTCAGACAGCATTTGGCATCAAATGTGGAAAATGTTCTCTAATGTTGACCATAAAGCTTTGAGTTGTGATGCTCCTTGAAATCATGAAATTGTGGAAAGTAGGCTCCAAAGGGTGGAGCTGCTGGAATATGGCTCCTTGCAAAGGGAAAGTTGACTACATTGGATCAGAAAGGTGTGACCTAACATAGCAAGAACTGTTCTCATCAGTGGTGAAGATCCGTGAAGATCATGAGTAGAATAGGTCTTCAGCAACCCATATTTGCCTTAGAAGGTGACTATGCTTGTCATAAGAGGCGACCAACTGGATCGCGTGGTTTGATGCTCACAATGTCAATCACTGGATTGTCTGGTCCAGACTTGATTATTTACAGACCGCCGTCATATAGCTGGACTATTGCTGAGTGCGGCATTAAACAACAAACAAACAACAGTGGTGATGAAGCTGATGATGAGAGACTGGTCAAAAGCCAGAGAAATCTGATGTATTTTACATTGACTAGATGGGGCTACAGTGATTGCCCTATGTATTTCACATTGACTAGATGGGGCTACAGTGATTGCCCTATGTATTTCACATTGACTAGATAGGATTACACAATCCTGGTAATGGCATATCCATTCTTGAAGGACAGAAAACCGTTCCATCCCTCAGTCTCCTGCTTGAACCTTTGTGTATGTCTGAGTAGACTCTGTGCGTTTGACATAGACGTAAGATTGACTGCACAGTTCCCTATGATTAGTTCTAGCATCTGCTGTGAGCAAGAGTTCTTAACATTCATGAATATCCTTCATCGTGTGTGTCGACTGCTTGAAACATGTAACCCAGCTTGCATTGATTCTAAGACTGAATCTTGACTGAGTTTTGAATCTGGTCGTATTGATTGCTCTGCTTGCAGAATAGGCTTTGTGAATTGTGGATTTTAGGAGAATTTGAAAATAACACTTTGATCCTGTTGTTTTAGGTAAATGGAATATGCATTGAAACTTAATCGATACTTTCAGTGTATTTGAAGGATCTTATCTCCTTCGGAAGTCAACATTTCTTGGGAATAATAAATCCTTTGTTGCATTGTGTATCTGAGACTATTTTTGAAATTTGTGATGCTTATGACAAAGGTGAAGATGCACTCTCCTCAGTCAACCCTTGTCTGTACCCACCAAATAATTGCATGACCCTTCAGAACACACCCCATCCCAAATCCCGGCTGATACTCACCCTATCCACACTCCCACCTGCATACCAACCCCCAACCCCACCTGCATACCCATACCCTTCTAAGTGGTCTGTCACCCCTGCCCCCACTTGCATGCCCACCCCCATCCCCACTCCCACCTGCATGCACATCCCCACCCCCCACCTATATACTCACCCCCCCCTCCCACTTGCATACCCATCCCCATCCCCACTCCCACCTGCATGCACATCCCCACCCCCCACCTACATACTCACCCCCACCCCACTACCACTTGCATACCCATCCCCACTACCACTTGCATACCCATCCCCACCCCCACTCCCACCTGCATGCACATCCCCACCCCCACCTACATACCCCCACCCCCCCACTCCAACTTGCATGCACATCCCCACCCCCACCCACATACCCATCCCCACTCCCATCTGCATGCTCACCCCCACCCCCAGCTCCACCTGCATGCACATCCCCACTCCCACCTGCATACCTATCCCCACCCCCACCTGCATATCCATCCCCACCCCTACCTGCATACCCACACCCTCCTAAGTGGTCTGTCACAAAGTGGTGTTAATCTTTCAAATGTATTTCTCAATGAGGATATATGAAAATTCAAAATATGCCATTGAAAATAAATGCAAAGCTTTGTTTGCACCTGCAACATGAAATGACAGCGGTAGAAGAACTGTGCTATAAAATTACCATGTAATTGGCTTCAAATTGATCATTTTAAATCTATGTTTGTGTTGTATTGATTCAATAAACATGAATATGTGCTGTGATGAAAAAAAATACATAGTCCTCTAACAAATGTGTCATTAATGATTGTACAACAGATTGCAATATATCAGGGGAACACTGTCCATTGACAGCACGATACAGTGAGGGGTCCTTGTCAATGCACCTCTTAGATTGATTTGGAAGGATATATGGCCATGTGACAGCACTAAGCATTTTGCTGGGAAGTGTGTCTGTATAAGCGTGTGTTTTTAGTGTTGTTCAAGTATAGATTTAATATAGGAAACAGCACATGTCAATAGCATCATTTGTGTTTCAGGTGAGTGATGATGGGCCTTAACCACGTAATGCCAACAGGATGATCCCGCCTGTGTTCCTGGATGCAGTCTACATTATGGGAGTTCTCAGTCTCGCTGTTCTAGGTGAGATAACATTTATATCATGTCTGTGTTCCTGGATGCAGTCTACATTATGGGAGTTCTCAGTCTCGCTGTTCTAGGTGAGATAACATTTATATCATGTCTGTGTTCCTTGATGCAGTCTACATTATGGGAGTTCTCAGTCTCTCTGTTCTAGGTGAGTTAACATTTATATCATGTCTGTGTTCCTTGATGCAGTCTATGTTATGGGAGTTCTCAGTCTTGCTGTTCTAGGTGAGATAATGTTTATATCATGTCTGTGTTCCTTGATGCAGTCTACGTTATGGGAGTTCTCAGTCTCGCTGTTCTAGGTGAGATAACATTTATGTCATGTCCGTGTTCCTTGATGCAGTCTACATTATGGGAGTTCTCAGTCTCGCTGTTCTAGGTGAGATAACATTTATATCATGTCTGTGTTCCTGGATGCAGTCTACATTATGGGAGTTCTCAGTCTCGCTGTTCTAGGTGAGATAACATTTATATCATGCCTGTGTTCCTTGATGCAGTCTATGTTATGGGAGTTCTCAGTCTCGCTGTTCTAGGTGAGATAACATTTATGTCATGTCTGTGTTCCTGGATGCAGTCTACATTATGGGAGTTCTCAGTCTCGCTGTTCTAGGTGAGATAACATTTATATCATGTCTGTGTTCCTTGATGCAGTCTACATTATGGGAGTTCTCAGTCTCGCTGTTCTAGGTGAGATAACATCTATATCATGTCTGTGTTCCTGGATGCAGTCTACATTATGGGAGTTCTCAGTCTCACTGTTCTAGGTAAGATAACATTGATATCATGTCTGTGTTCCTGGATGCAGTCTACATTATGGGAGTTCTCAGTCTCGCTGTTCTAGGTGAGATAACATTTATATCATGTCTGTGTTCCTGGATGCAGTCTACATTATGGGAGTTCTCAGTCTTGCTGTTCTAGGTGAGATATCATTTATGTCACGTCTTTGTTCCTGGATGCCGTTGTCAAAGCGATCTTAGCGCTAAGGTGATCATAACTCCCATATTTTAACATAGACTTGCGACAGTCGTCTTGCTATGGTTGTTTTGTATAATGACACCCTGGATGGATTCTTCATAATGGGAGTTCTCAGTCTCACTGTTCTTGGTGAGATAACATTTATATCATGTCTGTGTTCCTGGATGTGGTCTTCATAATGATAGTTCTCATTCTCAGTGATTTGGTGAGATAATGTTAAATCATGTCTATGTTCCTGCATGGACTAATGTCTGTTTAATAGTGCTAACCTGCTTTAGTTTAACATAGATATCGTACGTAGACAGAGTATACGGACAGTGAGACCAGCACTCCTTGTTGTATCCCCTAAATGAATGCCAGGCAGGGAAACAACAAATACCATCTTTTAATGTCTTTTGCTATGATGCGGCCAAGGATCGAACCAACAACCTTCCGATGTCCAGGCAGATGCCCTGTCCACTAGACCATAGAGGCAGTCTCAGAAAGGGTGAACAGAAACAAAAGATTACAACATTCTTGATCATGAAGCTGTCTGTTCCCCTAATGTTTTATTGAGTTGGCCATATTTGAAATAAAACAGGAGTCCTTCAGACACAGACTTAAAAAATTGTCATCCAATCTTTTTCCAAATATAACCAACAAACCTTTGAGCCAAAGGATACAAAGAATGCTGCTCTGATATGTCTTTTGTTTCCATATTTTTTAACAGGAGAAGAAAATGAGAAGTGTGAATACTCTTTCTCCTATAAGCATTCACAGTCAGGGAAGTTTGCATCCCCAAAGTTCCCGGAGGAGTATCCCGAGCTGATCAAATGTAAATACAAGTTTGAAGCTGCAACAGATGGACGGATTCAGCTGGAATTTGACTATTTTGATCTGGAAGACATGGCAAAAGATGATACATCGTAAGTTTGACCTTTTTTCAGTCATCTTCCCGAGGCAAGGGAGTTAACTGACTATAAAAGTCCAGTTTCCACCCTTACCAAACTTGGCTGGTATCATTGGGTTACATTTTGGCTGGACTAACGAGTCTGTGCATAGTCCAATCAAAATCACATAACAAAATCGACATCCGTTTCATAAACTTCAGTGAAGATTTCGGACGATTGCAGAATTTGCAGAGCATTTTTAATGTCAACTGGGCGACCACAGATATTTTCAAAATATTTTCATGTTTTTAGTCAAGGTGCTCAACTTGTTTGATGCATTTTGTGAAGTAAGACCTGTTTAATTACTATAAATATCATGATTATTGATCAGATCATTTTGACTGGGTACCACCTTTTTGTTTTAAGCAAATGCAAGTGGTATGAGAGGTGGAATTTGATTTTGTCAGTAGGAGGGACATAGAAATAATAATGTCCCCCGCCATGATACTGCTGGAATATTGCTAACTCACAAATGTGAGCACCTTCAGAATGCCCTTAATGCTCTCAATGCTACTGTCAAACCCATTCGACATGCGCATAGTAGGAGGACATCCCCAAATGAAACTCGCTATGACTGTTTAACGAGAAGACTTTGCGTATATTTTAAGTTACGTATGGTATGCATAAATGCTCAGCTTCCAAAATATCAAAACTTTCAGTTGTTTATTTACCTCAAAAGGAAAACACCGCGAGTTAAGAAAGTATCGACCAAATCTATCGGCACATAACTACCAGAAATGACCATTGTTGTCTTTTGGCACTTCACATTGAGCGGCATGCAGTCCGATATTTTCTTTATAATTTTATCATTTTTCATATTTGATCATAATTCTTGATTTGCGGGCCAAAGGAAAACACTCAAGTTCCTTAATTTCTAAAAATTAGCAAATTTAAATGGAATTAATTATAAACAATCTGAATCGTAACATCATCGATTGGATGGAAGTTTTACGATCATGGCAACGGCGATAAACAAACAACTCCACATGCATAGTGATCCCGTAAGACTATTACAATAATTTTGTTACATCTAACTTAATTTTCTAGAGTTATTGACACAGATGAATAAATCTTTGAAAAAGAAATATCTCATTTTTATAGAGTTGCAAATGATTTCGTTTGATAAACTTTCAGACACATTGACAAGCCGACAAACGTAAGTGACACGTTTAGGCGTGGCCTAACTTTGTTTAGTTGAACAAAGTCAACAAACACTGCAAAAAATGACAAATATTGAGTGATAGGCAAAATCTGAACTGATATACATTCTAGGTAAACCATAAACATAATCAAAATACTTGCAATTATAGCTATCATTTCCAAAACTGGGAGCACGTACCGCATGTGACACATGGAAGCAAAATATCCAAAAGGTTACAAGCTGTCATAAAAAAAAATCTGAAATAGAATCAAAGTCAAACGAAAATCATAATATTGTTATTGGTCTGTCATTGCAAGAAGGACAATTCAGAATATTAAGGATTGTATTTAAAACGTTTACTCACCCTCCCCAATCTTCAGAACGGATGAAAATAGGTACACGTCGACTCGATGAATGTAGGGCCTATGTGATTTTGTACCGAAAACAAAATTGTACCCAAAGTACTTGGTGACTTTGTACCCAAGAAAACTTAACTAAATCTGTATGATCATATTTATTTTTTCATGTTCATTGCAAACAATTAATGAGCTGAACTTTATGATAAAACATTACAAAGGCTTACATCAAGTTCATAATATGACTAACCTAAATGTACATGGTCCTTGAGTGTAGTCAGTCCACATTGGCACAACTCAAATTGATTGATTATGATAGGAAAGTAAGAAATTCTTGTCACTGAAGAAGAGGCCAGTAAATTGGTAAACCGTAAGTTAAGGGTAGTGTTGTGGCAGGAAAGTGATAATGAATTAACTTTTTCATACAAAAAGTAATGTGTATATTTGACATTATGATTTCTCATCAGTGGAATTCCTTTTCACATTTTAAACAAGTATTTGTTTACGTAACAAAACTCAGGTAGACAAAAAAACCTCATGTTTTGTCCTAAAAGTTGAAAAAGAAATCTGAAAAGTATGGACACCTCAGAAATGAGAGCTTTTAAAATTTTATTTCTATCAAACTTGTCAGATGGTTTGACTTTGGTCTATCAAAGAAAAATCCTTATAAAATTTAAAAAAAATAGTTTATGACTCAAACCTAAGATTATTCAAGGAAAGACAAATGTGTCTTTTTTATTGCAAATACTTTTGTTTTTTGCAATTCTTGTTTCATTATGGAAAGGGCACTTTTATACACACCATTTGAGGAACTTGTGACACACCAGCTGATAAAGTTAGATACTGTGATTGCATACAAGGGAAAACAGGTTTGCAGCAGTACATGTATGCCAAAATTAACCACATAAGGTGACATAAAGTCAGGGGTAGTGGCTGACAGGATAAAATACATCTGACAAAGGTAATCATGTATACAGGGACATTTCTTTTCACTCCACCCAGAAGGCTGAGACACAAAGAACATAAGGACCTATACTGACTGGATATTCAGAAACCCATCAAAATGATCAAGGGTGTCAGATCCAAAGCTGGTGATGATCTGCATTTATTTTGAATTTTTTACTTCACATTGACTGATAGACGAAAACCTGTTGATCACATTTCACAATGGTTCATGTTCGTTTAGGGGACATGCATGAGCGTCACTGTCACACACCTGAGCATACTGCAACAAACCTATAAAAGTCCGGCCACACTAATTACACATGGGTGGAACCCTGAAAAATTACATAAGATAGGATACATTTTCATTTCTCAAACAGAACAGAAATGCAAGAACTGTCAATGTACGTATACCCCGGTATGTGCCCTATTCCTTTTTCAAAAGATAACATTCTCTTATAAATATATAGCTAACTCACCAGCTTAAGTGCCACCCTGGTTCTTGTGATTAACCAAACAAAAATCTCATGTACTGCTACAAGAAATTAATGTATCGTTTTCATATTACAATTATATTTAAGAATTAGTTTTGGAAACTAACCACATAATACACAAGATTAATGTCCACATGAGTTGTGTATGTATATGTTCATAAGGATCTTATCTATTTTTTTTTATGGAGTACTAAACTTAGATAATGACATCAAATAGTTACTTATTCACGTAATTGATGTTCAGGTGAAAGATAATAATTGTTAAATAAAATATGTTTAAACTGAAGATAATAATTGAAATTTAATCAGTTACACTGTGCTGATGCATTGACCTATATTTAGTATCCATACACATAATCATTGTGGAAAGAAATAGATGCTAAATATAAAAATATAACTTACAGCTGGAAATAATTAAACATTAACAAATCTATCATCAATACGCAATCATGGCGGTCTCTATATTGATGGAATATATTTTAAAATGCTCCGTGAAATTGTTCTAAAATCATGCTAGAATCGATAAATGTATTATAAAAGGAAAATTCTTTTAACTATCCCACACTTAATTAGAAACTAACACTGAAAATATGTATGCATGTAGTATTTTATTGATATATACATCATGCACTTGCATATAATCATATTCGGCATCGCATGAATGCTATTTTGAAACACGTTTTGTCATGCCTATTTTCGCGCACCTGTTGTGGAGGGTGATCATTGCCAATCGAAGATATCTATAGACGTATTGCCTGGGACACAATTATTATAGTGAAAACAAAATCATCAGCATGAACATCACAGAAACATGAATCATATCCCTTTATATTCAACGTAACATGGAATGGTGATCCTTATATATCAACAAAAGTTCAAATAAAAGATACCGAGAAACTTGTGTGTGGCGTGTTGATTCATCTTCTGCCGTTTCCGGGTCAAGGGAGCATGCAAGGTCAGCAGACTACCCCTGTCTGTGACATCACATCCGGTGACCTTTGCTCTTACTGAAATATTGCTGTCAGAATTCATAATCTTTATTTTCTATCGTCATATTAAACAGAAAATGACAAATGAAATATTCTTCAATTGCGAAGATAGTCAACTTTCGCCAAAGCATAAATTTGAAGGAAATGTACACTTTGTTGATATTGAAATAGCAATAAGTTATGCCGAGGTCGGGCGAAGCGCGCCATGTTTGATTTTCGAACTTCTGCTAACATCATGACATGGTATTTGTATTATCTTATATCGTAAATATTCTACCAAAACACTTGAAATTAGAATTGGTGAATATTTATGAGTCATTAATTGTTTCCTGCAAATTCTATAACGTGACACGTTAGATTAACCCGAATGTTTGTAATTTCTGCAACTGACATGATGACCTCGAAAATGAATCGATAACGTTTGGATATTAAATTTACTGAAATGGTTCATAATTTACCATCGCGCTGTTATTTACCAATAAAAAACATCTAATATATACTCAGTTAAAATTAGAATATCCGAGATATGATTACTGAAATCAATTTGCACAAATTTAACGATTTAAAAAGGTTCCTAACATGAAATGTAAACACCTTCAATAACGTAATTCAGGCAAGTTCACGAAAATTTACAAATTTTGTGTTCACTTTGGTCTTAACCTTGGTATGATTGAAAACATCAAGAAATCTTTACATAGTAATGTGTAGTTTTCTATTAGGAATAAATGTTCAAAATATTTCTTCAACTGGCCCTTGTTTATATGAAGCATCGACTGTTTGAAATCGTCCAACCTCTTTACACCGCCTTATGCTAAAACAATGCAGCAGGCTAAAGGTTAAGGAAGCAACCATTGGATTTTCAGGGGGGCCAGGATTGTTTCTGGAAACATGATCATGACCCTGCTTTACTATTGCCTCGCATTGTCAAGGAAAAAAATAGTGTGCCATTTTCTTGCAAACAAGTCCTAAGAATGCAGTTCATTATTTGTTTTTATTTAAAGAAAATGATAATTAAACACCTGTTTATGTTAGAAAAATATTTGAGCTCCTAAAC